TCATCTCCTGTCTCCTTCCCTTTGTATTTGCTCTCCCTTGTGCCAAAAAAGATCTGCTGTCTCACCTGCCATCTACTTTGTCTCTATATTGTATGTACTCAGTTATTTAAATAATGTCTTCTCCATTGGAAGGTGAGGTCTTTGAGGGTAGGGACTGGCTTTAGCCTTTCTTTGTACCCTCAATACTAGGCCCTATGCCTGGCATGTAGTAGGAGATTAATACATGTTTATTGACAGACTGTTATCCCTTCTTCATTTTTTAGTACTTAGATCTATGATTTCATCTGTGTGGATATGCCTTCCACTGACAGAGATAGCTATCCTTCTTTGCCTTTGGAGACAATCTTCATGAATTGCTAAGGAAAAATAATTTCACCTCTGGTGGCCCAGCTTCTGATTCTCTCCAAACTTAATTTTCAGAGAGTGGATAAACACTCCATTGCTGAACCTACCGTTGGAGAAATCTGCCAAAACTTGTGCTCTACTGGCATAACCTTTGAGAATCCAAAGTCTCTTTTACACTAAGGTAAAGAATTAGAGTCTAACTTTAATAAAAGCATTTTGTTCTTAGCCTTCTGGGGCAGCCCCTTGTAGTCTCTACATAATCTTGCAGCCTTCTCCTCATATAGCCTATGAAGCAGCCTTCTATTTCATCCTAGAAGGATAAAGTGATCAATTAGACTGCTTCATTTTCACCCACCTCCCCCAGAGACCAATTAATTTATTTACTAAGACCTGCTAGAGTTGTATCCATGTGACTGTACTCACAAAATCTGGAATGTTTGCTTATTTTTTTAATTCTCTCTTCCATTTCACCTACTAGTGAAGGACCACTGTCAGGGGACCAAGTGGGCAACAGAATGAGGTGTAGAGTGCACTTCCCTCCACTGGAAATCTATTTTCTGCCACTCATCCATACCCTGGAACTTATCATCATTTGGAACTGCAGCACCTCTAAAATCTCAAACTCTGAAATTTCCTACTCTGGTCATAGAGTGATTCTCTGCTTTCCTCCAAGGTAGGTATCTATCATGCCAATACCAGACCTTGGATAAGCTCCGCCACACTATCCATGGCAATTAGCCAATATTGATTAAACTTTGGGCTGCCTTGATGTTAGAAAACAGCAATAAACCCATTTCTATCCAAACACAATCTAGAAGCACAGTAATTGAATTATTTTCTGGCCTCAGGCATAGGTTACAGTTCATTATATTAACATTGATCAAGAATCTGAGTAGGAGGAGATGAAAAACAATCTCGATTGCTCTTATTTATTTTTTCTATTTCCAGATAAATATTAGTTTATTAATAATCATTTGCAGTAAGTCACAGCCCTCTTAAAACAGAATGGAAATTTGGAAAAGTGTGCATCTGAGAGACATTCTTCTCCAGCTTCTATGAATGGAGTTCTTTTTTAACACCTCTAATTATCATCTGGTCCTACTTATTGAATATAATTGATGAAACCCAAGACAAATATCATAAATAGGAAAGCTCCATAAAGAACTGATTTATGTACGAGACATGGGAGTGTGCAGCGAAATGAGTACTAGACTTCTGGTCAGAAGACCTGGGTCGAGTCTCTGCCCTGCTTTTGATTTCTCCTTCTGTAAACGGAGGTTAGGAGAGATATAAACACTTTCACCATGTAATTCAGAGGGGTTTTGTGAGTCTCCATTCATTGGAAGTCAGAAATTAATGAGTCTCCATTTGTTGCCATAAAGTAGACTTTCACATTTTCATAGGCTGAGACAAGAAAGCAATATAATATTATTTAGGGAAAAAACCAACAACAACTTGTACCGGTTTCTCTTCATTCTTATAATCTACCCTTTGTTTATTATTTCTTTTTATCCTTTCTTTTTAAGCAAAGTAAGCCACAAATCCCCAGCTGCACAGTTCTATATACTTAAAATTGGAAGGAACTTCATATATCATCTAATTCAGATGAGGAGACTGGAATCTAGAGAAGTTACTTCCCCAAGGTCACATGGGTCATGGAGCCACCACTTTGCTGACTGTGTTGGGATATTATCATGTAAGTCAAAGTCTTTCAGATACCAAGTAGTCTTTGATCACAGTTATGTATGAATGAGGGAACTGGTAAATTAGTTCAGATTGTAACCCAACTCAGATCCAATCCATCCATCAATCAAATATTTACTGACTTCCACCTATATGTGTCTCCCACCACTACGCAAGCTACTTGAGGGCAGAAATTTTCTTTCTTGTATTTATTACCAGTCTGGCACATTTGTTCAGTTATTGTCAGTAGTTTCTGGCTCTTTGTGACCCCATTTGGGGTTTTCTTGGCAAAGATACTGGAGGTTTGCCCTTTCCTTCTCCAGTTCATTTTACAGATGAGGAAACTGAGGCAAACAGGGTTAGGTGACTTGCCCAGGGTCACAAAGCTAGGAAGCAAATGCTTCCTTCCTGCCCACTCCTATTGCACACCACCCAAGACACTATGCTAAGTATAGCATACATGAGATTCAATCCTTGGCCACACAGTGTTTTTAATCTAGTTAGACAGCCGACTCCAGTCCTAACTTGGTAACTATTAACTAAGGTTGTAAGTCCATGTGGATGGTAGAGAAAATAAGCATACTAAGAACTCAGGAAAGGGAAAAATTATTATGGCTAGGTTGGTAGGGAAATGCTTCAAGGAAAAGATGAAATTTGAGCTAGGCTCTGAGGAATAGGGAAGATTTGGATAAATGGAAAGGAGGTGGGGGGGGCAGAGCATATATTTAGAAAAGGGAGTAACTTAAAGTGAAACCAGAATGTAAAAGGCAGCACTGAATAAACCAGCCAACTGAAGTGGAAGATTTATATTAAGATGTCAGGGGTAAGGAGAAAGGTCAGAGAGGTAGATTAAGGTTGGAATTGTTTCATATAATTAATTGTAATTGTTATTTTCACCTACTACTGAAGTCTTTAAGGCTCAGCATTAGCTCCAATGTGTCCAGTCTTCCAAAGTGGGGAAGACTGCCTACAATGGACTCTCAGGATGCCTATGACTTGGCTTAATGAGGAAGCCAACTTGTACCAGAGGAGAAGTGAGACTTTTTTTTTTTTTTGGTGAGGCAATCAGGGTTAAGTGACTTTCCCAGGGTCACACAGCTAGTAAGTATCAAGTGTCTGAGGTCAGATTTGAATTCAGGTCCTCCTGATTCCAAGGCCGGAGCTTTATCCACTGCACCACCTAGCTGCCCCAACATTTTTCAAACTTTAAAAAACCTTTGATTTCATTGAATGTGAATATCCCCATCATTGGTGAAATAGTAATTTCATCCTTACATTAATAGATAATTTCTGTGAGTTACTGAGGCCAAGCTAATTATTGGCCTTCGGGTAACGAGACTCAGGACTTGGCAAAGCTAGACCTCAGTAACAGACAAGTAGTTCATCCTCAGGTGGAAGATAGAGAGATAAATTTAGATTTCATAGTAGGAAAAAAAAATCCTAAAAATGAAACTGCCCAAACATAGAAGGGACTATTTAAGGAGGTAGTCAGTTCCTTCTCATTGGAGGTCTTCAAGCAAAGGCTGATGGCCATCTGTCCAGTATATCAGAGAAAGGATTCTTTTGGGGATGTGGCTTGGACAAAAGAGCAGCTGAGATCTCTCATAACTCTTGACATTCTGTGATTCAAAGCCTTTCCAAGTGGGTTGTCCTGATAGAACTTTCACTTCCCTAACTTAGCCCTTCATAACCTACAGTTACCACAATGAGGTATCCAAAGAGGTTATAAATGCAGGAACTAGAAACCCAGTCCTTCTAAATCTTAGTGCCTTCTCTTTGAGAGTGTATCCAATTTATCCTGTATATATCTTGCTTGTACATAGATATTTGCATGTTATCTCCCCATTAGATTGTGAAGTACTCTAGAACAGGGACCTCCTCCCACCCTTTTCTTTATATCCTTAGCATGTCTGGCACATAGAAGGTGCTTAATAAATGAATACCGATTGACTGAGAAAACCTGGGTGGAATAAGTTGTGCTCTGAATTGGGAAACACTAGGTTGCTTTTCTTGACCTTTGGTATATGGCAGAAGTGGGGTGGAAGAGGTGGAGGCCGTGTGATACTGTGGAATGGGCACAGGATTTGGATTCAGAGAACGTGGGTTCGAATTCTGACTCTGATCTTTCTTGTCCTGTGTGACCCAGAGCAAGTCACTTTAGGTCTCTGGAGATGAGTGTCCTCTTCTGCAAAATTAGTGAGGTCCACTAGATCATCCTGGGGCTCCCTTCCAGGTCTAAATCCTATGGTGCTCCAAGTCTTTCACGGTTAAGATTCCTTGGGTGACGTAGAGAATCACGACATTAGGCGCAAAAATGAAATCAAGGACATGCTAGGGGATGGCAAACAGAAGAGGATCATAGAATTGGGAGTTGAGAAGCCCTTGGAGATGATATATATTTCACTCCAATCACATTACAGGTGGAGAGATTGAGACCCAGATTGGGAAAGTGACCTTGACACCTGAAGTGGAAGAGAAAGTGATTCTCTCTCCAAACGCCAAAGGTTACCTGAAAATCCCTCGTGCTAAGTACCATGCTCTGCACACCGTAGGCGCTTAATAAATGTTTGTTGGACTGAATTACCCAAAGCAAAAGTTCCTTTTCGGGAACGTGAATTGGGTGGCATTGATTGTTGAATGTGAAGTTGGTGCACGGCGGGGGGGGGGGGGGGACAGGCGGAGTGCGGGGTCCATGGGGCTGGGGGCGCCTTTCTCGCTTTAATCGCGTTTCCTCGCATCCCAGGACGCTTGGCCCTTGGCGGACGCCGTCCCAGCTCCCGGCTCGGAGCTCCGGCGTTTACGGCGGCGGCAGCTGAGGCTCGGCCGTCCTGCAGCACTCGCCGAGCGGCCGCGGCGGCCCGGTCACCTGCCGGCCCGGGGCAAGGCCTCGCGGAAGCGGAAGAGGGGTGTGGACGCGGCCAGGGCGGCGGCGGCTGCACAAGGAGGAGGACGGCTGCGGAGAGCGGTTGGTGGTCGCGGCAGCTACGGAAGAGGTGGCCGAGCCAAGGGCCAGGCCGAGGCGAGCGCGGCCCCCGGCGCCCCCGGTGAGTGCGAGCGGGCCGGGCCGGGCGGGACGGGGCGGGGCGGGGCGGAGACGGGGCAGGGGTGGGGGGCTGCCCCTGCGTGTCCCCATCCTCCTCCTGGGTCCCCGTCTTCTCTGCCCCCCAATCCTAAGCCCCCCCAGTCTTTCTGCCCACTATCCTCCTGGGCCCCAGTCCTCTCTGCCCCCCAATCCTCCTGGTCCCCCCATTCTTTCTGCCCCCCATCTTCCTGGGCCCCCATCCTCAGAGCCCCCCAATCCTCCTGCGTCCTCAGTCCTCTCTGTCCCCCATATTCCCCCGTCCTCTCTGCTCCCCTAATCCTCCTCCTGGGCCCCCATCCTCTCTGCCCCCCTA